ATTTTTATTATTTTGATCACGTGTTTTAACAAAGGAAAGTGAAAACAATAATAATTCTAACACATATGGGCTACATAAAGAAAACTTTAATGTCAGTTTTTATTATCAAATTTGAAACAAATTACAGTGAAAATCAAAACAGCAAAATACTTAATATTATTAATTCTTTAAAGATGTAAAAATTTATATAAATATTATTGTGTATGGTAATCAAATTATACACAAGACAACATTCCATTTGCAGGAGGTGGTTGCTGCAATGTAGAATCAAATGAATTTTTGGCATCTTCTATTCGTATGAATTCAGTTCTGAATATTTTTGTTTTCAATCACCAAGAACGACCATGCAATACTCAAAATAATGAAAGCAACTTCTATTTCATACGTAAAACAAGAGGCCCAGGGGCCACAGCGCTCACCTGAGCAAATCGGGCTTGAATTTACTCCCCCCCCCCCTTCCAGGCGTTTATCATTTGAACAAACTAGAATCTACACTACCTGAGGATGATTCCATATAAATACCCCGGGTATCACTAATCATAGCTTTGAAGTACTTGAAAAGAAGATTTTAAAAGGTTTCCCTATATATCCCTATGTAAAACTTAGATCGGGCATTTTTGCCCCACCCTATCCCCAGGACCGGGGGTCATGATTTGAAAAAACTTGAGTCTACACTACCTGAGGATGGCTTCCCTATCAGTTTCATCTTTCCTGGCCCAGTGGTAATTGAGAAGGATTTTTAAAGATATTTGCTATATATTCCTATGTAAAACTTGGGTCGGCCATTTTGGCCCCATCCTTGCCCCGGGGGTCATGATTTGAACAAACTTGAATCTACACTACCTAAGGATGATTCCACATGAGTTTCATCTTTCCTGGCCCAGTGGTTCTAGAGAAGAAGATTTTTAAAGATTTTTCCTATATATTCCTATGTAAAACTTGGGTCGGCCATTTTGGCTCCACCCTTGCCCCGGGGGTCATGATTTGAACAAACTTGAATCTACACTACCTGAGGATGATTCCACATGAGTTTCATCTTTCCTGGTCCAGTGGTTCTGGAGAAGAAGATTTTTAAAGATGTTTCCTAATATATATTCCTATGTAAAACTTGGGTCGGCCATTTTGGCCCCATCCTTGCCCCGGGGGTCATGATTTGAACAAAGTTGAATCTACACTACCTAAGGATGATTCCACATGAGTTTCATCTTTCCTTGCCCAGTGGTTTTGGAGAAGAAGATTTTTAAAGATTTTTCCTATATATTCCTATGTAAAACTTGGGTCGGCCATTTTGGCCCCATCCTTGCCCCGGGGGTCATGATTTGAACAAAGTTGAATCTACACTACCTAAGGATGATTCCACTTGAGTTTCATCTTTCCTAGACTAGTGGTTCTAGAGAAGAAGATTTTTAAAGATTTTTCCTATATATTTCTATGTAAAACTTGGGTCGGCCATTTTGGCTCCACCCTTGCCCCTGGGGTCATGATTTGAACAAACTTGAATCTACACTACCTGAGGATGATTCCACATGAGTTTCATCTTTCCTTGCCCAGTGGTTCTGGAGAAGAAGATTTTTAAAGATTTTTCCTATATATTCCTATGTAAAACTTGGGTCGGCCATTTTGGCCCCATCCTTGCCCCGGGGGTCATGATTTGAACAAACTTGAATCTACACTACCTGAGGATGATTCCACATGAGTTTCATCTTTCCTGTCCTAGTGGTTCTGGAGAAGAAGATTTTTAAAGATTTTTCCTATATATTCCTATGTAAAACTTGGGTCGGCCATTTTAGCCCCATCCTTGCCCTGGGGGTCATGATTTGAACAAACTTGAATCTACACTACCTGAGGATGATTCCACATGAGTTTCATCTTTCCTAGCCCAGTGGTTTTGGAGAAGAAGATTTTTAAAGATTGTTCCTATATATTCCTATGTAAAATTTGGGTCGGCCATTTTGGCCCCATCCTTGCCCCGGGGGTCATGATTTGAACAAACTTGAATCTACACTACCTGAGGATGATTCCACATGAGTTTCATCTTTTCTGGCCCAGCGGTTCTGGAAAAGATTTTTTAAAAATGCCATTAATTTTTAACAAATTCATGATTATCTCCTCTTGGAAAAGGGCGTGGCCCTTCATTTGAACAAACTTGAATCCCCTTCACCCAAGGATACTTGTGCCAAGTTTGGTTGAAATTGGCCCAGTGGTTCTTGAGAAGAAGATGAAAATCTGAAAAGTTAATGACAACAACGACGACAACGACGAAGACGACAGACAACGGACAAATTTTGATCAGAAAAGCTCACTTGAGCCTTCGGCTCAGGTGAGCTAAAATATATTATTCAAACCAATTGCAATATACCATTATTAAGATCAATATGACAACAACTGATTTCAAACCAATTCATCATTATTAATTATAAGAAACAATATGAGAGAAATATATTTGCACGAAGGTTTTTTCGAAATAATAATTTACTGTCGAAATATAGTTGAGTTCATTCAATATCTTATGAAAGCATTGGGAGTAATTTGAATTTCGCAGATAAAGTAAGACAAATATGTTCATAAATACGAGTAAATTGTGCATAAATCATTTGAAATCTATGAGGAATAAAATACGTTATAATGCATAATAATCTCATGTAACAGTTTTTATTTTTAACATGGACAGATAACTATAAATCTCATAAACACAGAAAAATATACATGTTAAATTAAAATATGCAAGAATAATTCCTTAGATTAAGTCTATTTCATACGTACAAGTGGAATAAGTTATAAACTCTGTGAAGCGAAAAAATATCACAAAATTAAACGTCAAAAAGTGTGGAGAATAATAACCTGACAGTTTGTACGAAAAATGTCAGTTAACTTTCCAGGTAATGCTATAATGTATTTGCAAAGAAGATCATGCTATCGACATATTTAAATATTTACATTTGCTGTGTTTTTCTAGTAAGCTTACTGTGAAATTGATTTGAAAAACATTTTCGTGTATACTCACGCGTAGAAATATACACGGAGAAACGTGCGTTAACGTGACGTCACAATGGGACTGCAGCGACGTTAGTAAAATGCAACAATATAGGGCAGCGAGAAATTCAAATATTGAGTATATTTTAGTTGCCCCCAAACAGGTAAAATGTAAATATAAGGAATGTTTTTCAGTTTAGTGTGAATTATTGGTGTGTGAATCACACAGACTTGCACATAGGCATATTTTTCATGAAGCGCTAGCGCGCTTCATGAAATATGCCTACGTGACAAGTCTGTGTGATTCCTTAAATATTCACTCAAACAACGAATGTTGATATTTTTGTTACATCAAGTAATTTGTTTATAGCTTATTATTCGTTCCATAAATTGTATGCTCTATCGAACAGAATTAACTAGGGGATAAACTCTATTTGCAGAAAATAATAGTGCATCGCTTCATGAATAAAGGACATTGGCAATATACATGCAGATGTCATCTGTTTATCATAGTTTATTCAAACTTAAGTTGCAATAAACAATTTTTTTTAATAAATGTCCAATTATGAAACAGATGTGTGCGGCTCCGTGCTACCAATATCTTTTGAGTTCAAGAATATATCAAAACAATGTACGTTAAACTACAAATATCGTCTTTTAAAATAATCTTTTTAATGTTTATTTTTTTTTATGGACAAATCTTACATTTATTAAACATTTAGTTTGCATTACACCCAATAAAACCTTAAAAAGAAAATCATAACGCTCGGTAGGGTTATCTGAATGATAGATATTGAACACTTATAGGACAGGCGTTAATTTGAATAAGTTCAATAACCCTTTAATTTTTTTTTAATTCAAAAAAATGGTTTCAGTTATATACTGAAGACAAAGACTTAATTAATATCTTAAACTTAAATTTACAAGAAGAAAATGGATTTTTGTTATTTTACCTTGGGTTTCACCAATGGAGTCTCTGACCTTGACCAATGTGATCTTGACACAGAAGAAGTTTCCTTTTTACTGGATTCTGTGAATATTCTCAGTCCATTCAGAGATGGGTACTTTGTCTTTATACCCATCATCAGCTAAAAGTTTAACAAGAAATGTAGTGCTTAGAATCTAACTTTACTTGTGTCAGAGAAACATATAGTTTTGCAAGTCAAATGAATTTGTTTTTGCTACACATGTTCAGTTTTCGATAAGCGTTAAGTGCCTGCATAATATGAGTACAATGTATAATAACGTTTTCTTCTTACCTTTTTGTTCATTAGCACGTGTGAAATGAATATACAAAAACCCTGTAAAATAATCTAATATCAATATTCTCTGTTTCAGAAAGATTACTTTAGTGCTGAAGAGTTTCTTTAGTCAGACAATGGGCTTGGCTTTTTTATATATAATTATACTCTTAGTATATTTTCATTTGATAATCACATTTAATTTTAACTAACTTTAATTAAAAAAATCAAATTTCTTTTCTTAAAAAAATACATTCTTTTATTAGCATAACAAACCTGTAAGGAGTTGGCTATGATGAAAATATATTGAAATATTTCAGCACTTTCGTTTACAGCTAAGACTCCGAATATCCAGGTAACACCTAGTACGGGTAAAAGGGTACCAAGAGACCGCAATCCAGACCTGTTGGTATAACAAAGCATCTATAAGATCATTATCTTACCACCTTGATAAAGGAAATCTGAGTAAAGGAAAGTATATATATTATTCCTTTAAAGTTCACGTGTGATCTGATAAAAAATTATTTTGAAAGATTTGTTCTTGAATATGCATATGATAATGCCTATAAAAAGAATTTAAATATAGGAAAGTGTATTATGCTTGGTCTTAGGTTCACATTTAGTCTGATGAAAAATTATTTTTAAGTAATTTTTTTCTTCTTGAAAGTATTACAATGCATTTAGAATTGTAGCTACATACGCGGCCTTTTTCTGAAGTGAAGACTTTGTCATCGCGTTGGAGGCACATAGCACTCGAATCAGGGACACCATTATCATTATATTAATCTAAGAAATAATACATCTTTTATTACAAATTTGCCAGCGACCAATTTGTTTGCACCTATTCGTTGGTAATGCTTATCTTAAAAGCAAATAATACATTTTACTTCAAATGATACTCCTTACCACGGCAATTAGACAAACTGGAACAATGAAGAAAAATAGGGAACCACTTTCCATGGACAGCCAGCAGCTGAAATGATTCATAAGTGGGTTATTTTAAAGAAAAATAAAATATGCGTTTAAATGAATTTATCAAAGATTCGTTTTACAGAAAGTCAATTTTATGCCTCTTTATTTTTGTTAGAATCTAATTACATATAAATAATGGAGGAACTGATAAAATCTTAAGCTTCATTTATAGTATTAGATTTAACTTAGCACAATTAATAGCCATTCTCTGTAACCACTTAAACTTCGTTGCCACGCATGGTCACCGATTTTGATGAAACTTCACCCATGCTTAGTACTTGTCACCAGAAACAAATATCAAACAAAATTTTGTTGCTATGTGTCTCGGTTGCTATGGCAACAGCCGGAAAAGTTTAAAAAATCGAGATTTTAAGCCACTTTAAATCTTGACTGTGGCTTAATAAAAACTAGAAAAAGCAAACAAACCATTCTCACAAAAACATGACACCTTGACGTCACTTATACTGTAAAGAAACTGTTTAGATTATATCTCTAAGTAAATGGTAACCAAGGGTACTTTTGGAATACATTTAAAATGCTGAAATATGCTGAAAAACACTCCGTATTCACTAATGGTAGGTGTTACATGCTCAAACTCAATCAACGGCTTAAGAAAAACAATGAAAATGTTTGACCTTAAGTATATAAGTATAAGCAATATTATTCTATAAATAACTTTTATGGTTGCCATGGTAACACAGTGTAACCATGCAAAACCAGTAACTAAGATTGGGTTAATCCTACTGTCTTGAGGAAAAACATGAAAATTCAAGACTGGCAAATATGCATCCTTAGGACCTTGCAACACCAAAACCATAAGAAAAATTGGGTATAATTGCTACTTTGCAGTGTAACCATGGAAACAAAGTACCAGTGCTTAAAAGTGAATTATTTTTCGCTGCATTAAGAATTAAATTGCCATTTAATCAAGAAACAAATTAAAGGACTCAGCTTGAATAGTACTTATCTGTTAGAACTGACGTTCAATATCATATATTGATAAAATTTGATGAATAAAACAACACTGTTGCTATGGTTACCAAGAACGGAAAATGTTCGATTTTGTGAACTTTATATCAATATTAAACCCTGTGTACCAACTTCTTGCATCCACTTAGAGATTGGATGATAGTCAAAATTAAAAGTCAAGTTAGCTGTTAATAAATATCAATCATAAAAGTTTTGGGAATCTACATTTAAGGGTACGTATCCAAGGAAAAGAAAATATTTTTTCAGGTTTTTAAGCATATATTTTCTGCTTATTTCCATAGCAACGCTCTATTTAAAGAATCTAATCTCAATTTTTTCAAATGGGAAAACTTGGAGCACACCGACATCTTATAAAATTGATCATTAGTTATGAGGAAATGTGCTTTTTTTTAAAAGATAGGATCAGATTTAATTACACAGAGTGTTACTTTGAAGGCTCTCTGTGGTATAAAAACCTTGGCAACCATTGCCAACCAAAATGAAATTTTATATTTTGTTCTTGGTATATGTTTCAAGGCTTTTTTTTCTATTATTTGGTAACACTTCATCCTATAATTGCTTTTTATTTTTACGTGTATGACTTTATAAAATTCAATGAATATTTTTTTTACTTTTGAATACTTTGTTACCATAGAAACGTATGTAGTAGTTGATTTACTAAACATGTTTATCATGCATTTGAGACATCTGACCTTCAACTATTTGAAACAGTCATTGCCAATTGTTTGCTTTGCCGCAAATGTTAACTATGGGGCTCTAAACATGTTAAAAAATACCATTTTTCGAACTTTAAGACATGTTGCCATGGTAACTATACAACATAGCAACCAATTTTTGCCTGATTTCAGTTTAGGGTATCAATGACTTTTATCATAGAGAGTTTGGAGAAATTCTGAGACTATGCGTGCCACAGCTCCTATATAAAATTTCAAATCATTACAGAGAATGGCTCTTAATACTTATTACTACTTATTTCTTCGTTGGCACAACTTACTAGTGTTTAAGGTGGTAGCCATTCTCCCAGAAAGCTCCTAAAGTAATTGCTGCAATGATCAGTGGAATACCTAAAAAGAACATTTTATATTTTATATTAATATAAATATGAACTATATATTGAAATATATGATGACACTGTTTCTTATAAACATGCTTGAACTGTTTAAATACTAGAAACTAATCAATATATACTGAGGCATAACATGTCCAAAAACAAAATCATATCTCACCCCATGATCCCAAAAGGAACCACTGCACTCGGGATTTGGACTTGAAGTTGTTGGCTACATACATGGCGTAGAATGTCACTGTAATACTCATACAGTAGTAGATACCCATACTCAGCATACAGAAAAAGGTCACCAAGAAAAGATAATGGATAAGAGCCGTGATGAAAATACAAACACCCTGTAAGCATATCAAATACCTGACTTATTCATGTTTTCAAATCTGTGATATATATTTATTATTTTCTTTTCAACGACAGTCAAACTGTTTCCTGGTTTTTGGACACATCGTTTTGATAAAGTATAGAAAATAGTATACATATGGAAAATCTTACAGTAAGGTTTTTCAAACAATACTTAACACTTTTGTTGCTATAAAGCTTTGTTCACCTCATTTTCTGTCTTTTCTACAGCAGCGATGAAGACAATATAGGACATCACAAGCGATCCACAGAGATTAAGCAACATTATATTTTGATCACTCTTTATTTGTCTGAAAATAAACGCATTGATTTCATTTAAAATTTACTTTTCATTTAATATAAGTTTCCCTTACAGATCAAAATTCAGATTAAATTTTAGAACTTTAAAAAATCACATAAAATGCGTACTTCCATGTCAGAATAAATATCACAAACGTTAACACTGTGAAAGCAATGGATATAATAACACCAACGAGAGAAAATGTCTTCAATGACACTCTGTCTTCTTTTTCCTACAAAATAATTATTGTAAATGAAAGTTGAATGAAATGTACATCTAGAACACAATCATATTTTGCACAACAGAACTCAGCCAATATGTGTTAACTTTATGTAAATCTACAACTGGTAAAATTGCTAAAACTTAACTTAGTATTCTTAAATGTTTACGTTACCGACACGAGAAAATCTAATTTTGTTTTTTAATATTTTGCCAGTGGAGTAAAGGTATCAATATAAACCTCTTCTTGACCTTCTTGTAAGCTTGGAGTTTAATTTTCCAACATAGTTTCATAAAATTTCGAAAACTTGCATTTAGAACTTCATATGCTTTTACTAAGACCCGTTTTTTTAATATAAATTTAATTACTAATTTTCTTACAGGCGTGTATGGTCTCATCAGAATGGCAAAATTAGTAAGATGGTTACACTGGCAGACTGTTCTCTTGTTGTTGGTGGAGTTTACTTTGCAGCCTTCTTCGGACCATTTACTTTTTAAAACAAAAATCTTATTATTAACAAAATCGAATAAATCAATCTTCTATAAAATACATTTTGCAAAGACAAAAGGAAAAGCGAAACTTATCGTTAGAAAATATTTGTTGGTAAATGGCTTATTTTTTTACATTCATTTTCCTAGTGTAGAAAGACAATTCAGAGATTTCCACTTTAGAAGTATGTGTCTTTTGTAGTTAAGAAGAATCAAAGACTTACTTTGTTGTAAAGTCCCAAGACACACACGCTGCTTGAACGTCAGCACTTTCGTTCTAGACAGATGAGTATACCAATATACATTAGATATACATTATTTAAAACAGATTTTCCTATACACAATATTTAGATTCTAGGCGAACCAATATGAAAATCAACTGTTCATTTTGTGCAGATTGTACCCAAGTCTTTATATTTGACAATAACAGCAGAAATTTTATATTATTTATATCAGTTTGAGTTTCAAAACGTATTCAAAAGATAATCGAATTCGACAAAGCCTACATAACAAACAGTTTTCCTGAATAAGGTTTATGCTATTTTTCTTGATGAGCTCATTTGTTCAAAGTGGTAGGTCACTTTGAATAAGATATTGTTATATCTTCTAATAACTTATACTTTCGTCGATCGGTAGAAACCAGTTCACACTTAAAATTAACATAGGTCTAGCTATATGACTATGACACCAGTGATTAAAACATGTTGAGTTTTCAAAAAGCATAATCAGAGTCGAGTATGCAAGGTCAATGTCACTGAAAAAAATTATTTATCACAAAGTATGCTAGAACAACCAGAAAAGATTGAGAAGAATTTTATGAAATTTAAGCAAATTTATATCAAATTGTCTGAAAGGAATAAAGAAAACCTATTCCGTTCTTTTTTATTTGATCTAGGTAAGTCAACAATAAACCTGCTGTTCAAATTCTGAATATGAAAATGAATGCATAACAAATTGAAATATTTATGTAAAGAAAATCGAATATCACTGTACTCTTGCACATGCGTGTCCTACAAAATTACTAAAATTAGGCGGGCCAGAAAAATCTTATAGTCTGGTCCTGATTTTTAAAAAGAAGGCTAGAAATAACTTCTAACGGCAAATAATTATTATTTAGTCCAGCATAGTTTTTAACCTATTTCGAGTATGTTGAATCCGGAAAAATATGCTGGCCTTCATGAAAATGGCGTTACAGAGGTCAAATTGGCGATTCAAAATGGCGGACATCCCATTTTTCTAATTTTCTCTTAATGTCATTCAAAATGGAGAAGTAATGAGTGAAATTCTAACTGAGTGTAAGAAAACTATAACAATGATAATAGAATGCTGTCAATATTAGTTTAACTCAGAAAGTTTAGTAGTTTCTAAACTTAATTCGAATTTTCTCTAATTTTGTTGTGTATTGTTTCTATATTCTTTTTTGTTCAGGATTCTACATTTGCAAATATCCATACCCTGCAGATTTTTCCTCTACATCTCACTATTCTACAATTGAATGATGGTGCAGCTGTAAGTTAAAAGTCAAAATGGCGATTCAAAATAGCGTATATTCATATTTTCCTTCAAATTATTTAATTCATAATGTCGTTTACATAGTAGAAAGGATTTGTGAATATTTTACTGAGCGTAGTACAACTATTTAACATGATAATAGAACACTAATTTGATCACTTTCAATCGGAAAATTTAGTTATTAAATTTGAAATGTGTTAATTAGCTCAAAATGGCAATTCAAATGACGTCTTATACATTGAATTTCGAAAAATACCCAAACTGCTTAATTCTAGTTCGTTTTGCAGGAAATAAATTACAATTTTTTGCTTTTTTTATTCATGAAAAAATGTTCAAATATGCCATGAAAGTTAGAGGATATTTTTGTTAATGACTTGGGATTTTCATAACACGGATTTTTGTTTGATTACTTCAGCTGTTTTTAAGATAAATTTTGACGACAATTCCGAAGACATTTTATCATTTACCTGTCTCACCATGCTTCATATAAAAAGTTAATGATATCATACAATAATTGCTGTTTTGTGGACAATATGAAAATAAAGCTACCCCAAGAGCAGTATCCCCCGAGCATTAAGGCGAGTGAACATTCAGTTGTTGGAAATTCTTGATCTATTTTTAGTCCATTGTAGAAAAAAAATAAATGTTTATATTCATGTGGAAGGTCTAGTGCAACATAACTTAGTATGATTTTTAAAATGATTGACCACGACCAATTATAGGGCTAGTAATTGTTATACATCATATGAATCTGAATATATAATAATATCAAAATATAAACATATATAATAGGTAGGATTCTTCTCTGTTTTCTGACTAGATGAAACATTCAAAGTATATTTGCTTATATGTTTTATATATTGAGGTGTAAGTAATTTAAAAGATCATATTTTTCTTTCCTTATCACAATTGTACAACTTTAAATAGAAATGGTAAACTGCGTTTGAAAACTAGCAGTGACTATATTTTTGGCGGAATGGTGGCGTATGAAAATATCTTTTCTGCCTCTCAAAATCATAATAGAACAAGAGGCCCATGGGCCACATCTCTCACCTGAGAAGCTTTGAACATTCCGTTCTTTACCAGATTTCCCCCTTGTTATACATATTGTGACACCAACTGATCATAATTTAAACAAATTGAAATCTACACTACCATAGGATGCTTTGATTCAACATTGTAAAACTTTGATTCCCCACTGTGGCCCGCCCAACTCCCCGGGGTCATGATTTTAACAATTTAGAATCTGCACTACCTAAGGATGCTTCCACATAAGTTTCAGCTTTTCTGGCTCAGTGGTTTTTGAGTATAGAAGATTTTTTAATGATTTTTCCTATATATTTCTATGTAAAACTTTGATTCCCAATTGTGGACCCGCCCAACCCCCGGGGATCATGTTTTGAACAATTTAGAATCTGCACTACCTAAGAATGTTTCCACATTAGTTTCAGCTTTCCTGGCCCAGTGGTTCTTGAGAAGAAAATTTTTCCTATATATTTCTATGTAAAACTTTGATTCCCAATTGTGGCCCAAGCCTACCACCGGGGGTCATGATTTTAACAATTTAGAATCTACACTAGCCAAGGATGCTTCCACATTAGTTTCAGCTTTTCTGGCCTAGTGGTTCTTGAGAAGAAGATTTTTAAAGATTCTTCCTATATATTTCTATGTAAAACTTTGATTCCCAATTGTGGACCCGCCCAACCCCCGGGGATCATGTTTTGAACAATTAAGAATCTGCACTACCTAAGGTTGTTTCCACATAAGTTTCAGCTTTTCTGGCCCAGTGGTTCTTGAGAAGAAAATTTTTCCAATATATTTCTATGTAAATCTTTGATTCCCAATTGTGGCCCCACCCTACCCCCGGGGGTCATGATTTTAACAATTTAGAATCTATACTACCCAAGCATGCTTCCACATTAGTTTCAGCTTTTCTGGCCCAGTGCTTCTTGAGAAGAAGATTTTTAAAGATTTTTCCTATATATTTCTATGTAAAACTTTGATTCCCAATTGTGGCCCCACCCTACCCCCGGAGGTCATGATTTTAACAATTTAGAATCTACACTACCCAAGGATGCTTCCACATAAGTTTCAGCTTTTCTGGCCCAGTGGTTCTTGAGAAGAAGATTTTAAAAGATTTTTCCTATGTATCCCTGTGTTCAACTTTCATCAAACAATCACACATTGTGGCCCCACCCTACCCCCGGAGGTCATGATTTTCATAATTTAGAATCTGCGCTACCTACGGATTCTTCCACATAAGCTTCAGCTTTTCTGGCTCAGTGGTTCTTGAGAAGATTTTTAAAGATTTTTCCTATACATTTCTCTGTAAAAATTCCCCTTTGTGGCCTCGCCCAACCCCTGGTGGTCATGATATTTACAATTTAGAATCTACACTATCCAAGGATGCTTCCACATAAGTTTCAGCTTTTCTGGCTCAGTGGTTTTTGAGTATAGAAGATTTTTAAAAGATTTTTCCTATATATTTCTATGTAAAACTTTGATTCCCCAATGTGGCCCCACCCTACCTCCGGAGGTCATGATCTTCATAATTTAGAATCTGCACTACCTAAGGATGCTTCCACATAAGTTTCAGCTTTTCTGGCCCAGTGCTTCTTGAGTAGAAGATTTTAAAAGATTTTTCCTATATATATCTATGTAAACTTTGATTCCCAATTGTGACCCCACCCTACCCCCGGGGGTCATGATTTTAACAATTTAAAATCTACACTACCCAAGGATGCTTCCACATTAGTTTCAGCTTTTCTAGCCCAGTGCTTCTTGAGAAGAAGATTTTTAAAGATTTTTCCTATACATTTCTTTGTAAAACTTTGATTCACCATTGTGGCCCCGCCCAACCCTTGGTGGTCATGATTTTTACAATTTAGAATATACACTATCCAAGGATGCTTCCACATAAGTTTCAGCTTTTCTGGCTCAGTGGTGTTTGAGTATAGAAGATTTTTAAAAGATTTTTCCTATATATTTCTATGTAAAACTTTGATTCCCCATTGTGGCCCCACCCTATCCCCGGGGGTCATGATTTGAACAATTTAGAATCTGCACTACCTAAGGATGCTTCCACATAAGTTTCAGTTTTTCTGGCCCAGTGGTTCTTGAGAAGAAGATTTTTTAATGACCCCACCCTATTTTTGTCTTTTCTTGATTATCTCCCCTTGTGAAAGGACTTGGCCCGTAATTTTAACAATTTAAATTTCTCTTTACTCAAGGATGCTTTGTACCAAGTTTGGTCAAAATTGGCCAAGTGGTTCTTGAGAAGAAGTCGAAAATGTGAAAAGTTTACAGACAAACAGACGGACAAACCCAAATTAATATCCCCCACTTTTCAAGCGGGGGACAATAATGACAGTGTCCATGTTTTGCTATGGGAAACCCAAAATATGTGTCGGATCAAAAAATAAAATAGGAGGTCACAATGGCAATATGTAATAAAGATTCTGTGAATCAAGTGTCATCAAAATTCATTCAGTGGTATGAGAGGAATTGCGGATAAGAGATGGGTACCCCAAAGCGTAACAGACAAACGGACGGACATAGCGATTACTCCATACCCTTCCGCTTTTCAAGCGGGGGGTTTAAAAAAATATCTGATATTCAAGACATGTAGCTCTTTATTTTGTGACCCCGTATAAATTTGTTGTCTTTTAGGGTAGAAAGGTCATTTTATTAGCAAGAAAATTCTCAAACTTGATTATCTGAAATCACATTGTGTCCATATTTTGGTGAGAAAAGTTGTAAAATTATGAATTTAAGAGCGCCTGCAGATTCCTCGTGATTCCTATCACTTACAAGCTTTCGTATCACTAGGCCAAAGCGATTCCTAATTTCGATCTAGTCAACATTTTCTTGACAACAAAATTTTCTTGAACACTTCAAGAACTTTACAAGGCAACTTGATCCACACTTATTTGTTAGGATAGTGTAAGGTTGTATCAAGAATTGAGGGGGGGGGGATTGAACACAAACATTTTCTTCTTTCAGATTTTGTAAATTTCAAAATTTTTAAATTTATATACACTGTTCAATACAAAAATGAATTTTTGACTGAGAATACCGAAACGCAAATGTAGGGACACAGAATCAGAGCTGGACAATCAAGAAAATTTATGGTTTACTTGCTAGTATATTATACTGATAATTCTTAAGGTAGGATTCTTCTCATATTTCTAATATTCAAAAATAAATGAAATTTTCACAAAATCAAGAAGACAATACCAGTAAGTGATAGCATCAGTGAAATTAATTTGACCGTTTTATATTAGAGGCAAGGTCAGGTCTAGGTCATTATCTTTTTCCATGACATTAAGAATAAAAAATAACTGTTGCCAATCATGTGATACCTACTTCTATTTCAAAAGTTTAATGATTGATCTTTTTGCATAAAAAACATATAACTATATCGGGTTTATAGCATGATATAACCAAATTTACATAAATAAGTTAACTTAACTGGATAATGGCTAATTCGAATTTTCTCTGATTTTCTTAATTTTTTAGGATATATTAGTTTTTTTCATGTGCTTCCTATATTTAACTTTTTCTTATTTTCACATATGATAATGTAGTAATATACCGGTAAATATACAAAATGATACAAAAACAAAAAGTTTTGATCGTTTACTAAGAGAGAAAAAAAAATACATTTATGGATTTTTGGCTCAAATCTCTCTTTGATAGAAAGCATTTAATAGCTAATAAAGTTCTATTTTGTTTGAAAAATCATATTTATTTAATAAATTTTGAAAGTTTAGTCCCTCATTATTAATCTAACTTACATTTGAAATTTTATCCAAGATTTCGATGTGTAAAAATTATAACTAAATTCATTGTAAGCTCAGCTGCGCCGAAGGCTCAAGTGAGCTTTTCTGATCACATTTTGTCCGTCGTCCGTCCGTCCGTCTGTATGTATGTCCGTCTGTCCGTCCGTCTTTCTGTCTGTCTGTAACGCTTTCGTTTCCACACGATATCTCGAGAACCCTTTGAGCCTTTGCAATGAAATTTAGCATAGCAACTCCCTATGGACTAAAGAAGACCCCTATTGATTTTGAGGTCAAAAGGTCAAAGGTCAAGGTCATAAATAAGCAAATTCTGTCTGTTAAAACACTTTCGTTTCCACACGATATCTCTAGAACCATTTAAGCTATCGCAATGAAATTTTACATAACAACTCCCTGTGGCCTAAAGAAGACCCCTATTGATTTTGAGGTCAAAAGGTTCAAGGTCATAAATTTATACATTCTGTCTGTGTGTAACACTATCATTTCCGGGCGATATTTCAAGAAGATTTTGAGCTTATGCAATGTAATTTTATACCAAAACTCCCTAGGACGTGTCTCGCCCCTCTCAAAGTGCCCCGCCCCGTTTGTTTTATTAGTATTTATAGTATTACATGTCGCTATTTTTAGCGCAGGGGCATGAGGAGAGTTATTGCGTATAAAACAGGTTCTCGGCGGACTTTATGTTCTTATTACATCTATTAGAACTGTTTAATAAAGGCTAAATAAATCAAACACCATGGATTGTGTAAAATTTTGAGAATACTGAACATGAAAACATGAATATATATATACATGTATGTGACTTCAGTTCTGCATATACTTCACTCTGTGTAAAGCGACTCCGTGGTCTAGTGGTTATGTCTCTCGCTTCAAATGTGAAAGGTCCCGGGACCGAATATCGGACGAATCTTTTTTTTTTTTTAAATACTTTTTTTTTACTAAATGATAGTATTCAGCATGTGAAATGAAAAATTTATGAGGTTATAAAATCATCATTACAATGTGATAAATATTCCATATAAAAAATCTTCTATACACATAATAAAGAATAAGCAATCAAATCTTTATATGCATATTGACATACATGTATTTTATTTCCTTCAGTATACATGTATACATTTAATAATTCTACAAATTCAGTCAGGGGGAGCCGACTTTTTCCCTAAGCGGGGGACACGAATTCTCTGAATTAGCTTGTATTTAAATGGGAGACCGGGGTATTATTTAGTGAGCTAATTGCTCGCAGTACCTCTAGTTCCTTGCATATAATTTAGGAAAACAAAATAGACTTTTCACATTTGAACATAAATGTGTTGTTCTTGAGTGTTGGTTGATTAATTGTATATTGTTTAACGCCGAGTCGGCAATTTTTCAGCCATGTTTCGGTGGACTATCAGTTTAAATACCGGTAATCGGTTTTTGAAGGATTTTAGTTTCTCTGGCGCCCCCCCCCCCCCCCCCCCCCCGTGAGCTTACTCTTTTTCGAACTCCACTGAAATGATCTTTTACATGCCAAGGGGGTTGTCATCCTTGACACAGGGCTCCATTTTACTTGAGTGTTGAAAATACTAAAATTCCGAAGACAGACTGAAACATATAGCAAAGGAAGGTGGAATAGAAGATGGTAGGGATAATACTAAGTTCTTATAAGTGCTAAAAAGCTAGAACAAAGTGTTCGATGAAATCGGACAATAATTTCTTCACTTATATTTGATGGTGTGCCGAGGGATGTTGAGGTAGAAGTGCGAGTTGATAATGACAGGATTTGGGAATGAATTTAGGTGGACGGGGGCTCAAAGGCTTTGGAACACGTACGATCAAATACGAAGGGGGGGGGGTGGAAACTCTTAAGTTAAGTTTGTTTTAACTATCTCCAGAAAAAAAAGAATTTTTTCAAATATTTTTTGTACAAATTTAATGGGCTAAACAAAATACTATATATATAAAAAACAAACTGTCATTTATTTTCTGCAAAACGAGCTAGAATTAAGCAGTTTCAACGAAATTCGAGTTTATCAGTCGTCATTTGAATTGCCATTTTGAGCTATTTAATGACTAAGTTTTCCGATTGAAAGTGATCAAATTAGTGTTCTATTGTCATTTTACATAGTTGTACTACGCTCAGTAAAATACTCACAATTCCATTCTTCTATGTAAACGACATTAAGAAATAATTTTTTAAAAATATGAATAACCATTTTGAATCGCCTTCTTTATTTTTAACTTAGAGCTGCGCCATCATTCAGTTGTAGAATAGTGAGATGCAGAGGAAAATATACAAATCTGCAGTGTATGGATATTTGCAAATGAAAATCCTGAACAAAGCGGAATACGGAACAATAGACAAAAACATCAGAGAAAATTCGAATTAAGTTTAGAAACGACTAAATTTGCTAAGTTAAACTAATATTGTTAGCATTCTATTATCTTTTTAATACTTGTATTACACTCAGTGAGATATTCACACATTATTTCTACTTTTTGTACGATATTAAGAGAAAATTAGAAAAATGGGATGTCCACCATTTTGAATCGCCATTTTGACATCTGTAACGCCATTTTTATGAAGGCCAGCATATTTTTTCGGATTCAGCATACTCGAAATAGGTTAAAAATTATGCTGGACTAAATAATAATTATTTGCCGTCAGAAGTATTTTTTTCTATAAATCGCACCAGACTATTACATGTACCTCAAGTTTATGCTGGAAGGCCAGATTAAGAGGAGGGTACAGAATACCCAGGTCTGTCTGAGTAGTAAGCGACAGGATTTCAGAATTGACGAATTCTTTCTTTTTCTTCTCTTTTCCTTCCGTCACTCCGTTTGAATTTTCTTCTCTGCAAACGATATTACAAGTAAACTAGAGGTGTTAAAAATAGAATAAACGTATGGAGATAACAAACAATATTCTAGATCATTGAGAACCAACACAATATTTAATTTTGAAAAATCTTTTGAAAGATTCTGAAATATTGTTTGCAGCATAAATATTACCACTGCTTGAATAGAAATTTCATAAACGGATAGAGGTTGTTATATACTCTTCAAAAAAAGAAACGCATAGTAGGAACAATGGCCTGAAAATTTGTGATAGTTTTGTCATACCTTTTATTTCTGTATGGATACTATGTATTCGAGTGAAATGAATGATTTTTTAATGCAATTGTTAACTTTACAGCTATTCTACAAGTCTCACAGACAAAAAGACCTGATTTTGCAAAATTTCCCCCAAAATTTTGATCTCAATTTTCATTTGTTGAATTCCAATGCAATTCCTTCAGGTACAACGGGGGTATCAAAAGTGGGGGTTCTCGATATTTTGAATCTGGTTTTATGTGAAAAATGACGCTTCTTAAAATTGCTTCATCTGAATGTTGCGTGGCACAAAAAGGAAAATGGGCGACTGGAAGTAGGGGTACCGCAATCTACAATTGCAAGAGGTTTTAATGTTACACACAGACCATATCTAACCTATAAAACATAAACCATTAGCATCGAACATTCAATGTTCGCAAAAAATATGGTAGACTACGTGTGACATCAGCAGCACAGCATCACAGGATTACGCAAATTGCATGAATGTAATGCAAGGACGTCATCTAAAGCATTAGCTATCCCTGAACTGCACAGATCATCTAACAAGACCGTTTTCAGTTGACTACAAATTATTGCAAGAGGATTATTCATGCCATTGTTCTGACCCCACAGCACCCCAAATATCGACTTCAAAGATCTCAGATGAATAGAGTATGACCATAGCATCACTGCTGAACATTTTGGTTAACCTACTAGTCCAGAATGTTTATCTGAAAGCCTCTTATAAGTTTAAGAGTGCTAATGCTTTTTAATGAATGTTAGATAGATAACTGCCTCCAGGACGTTAAAAAAGTTGGTGGTGGTAGTGTAATGATATGGAAAATTGTATTATAAGAAAGTAAGATTGATTTGGTTCGAATTCAATGGACTTTGATGGAAAAAGGTACTCTAACCATGTTTTACCTACACATACCCATTCAATTTTGCAGCATCCTAGAGCCGTATTGCAATCTCACAATACACAGCCACATATGGCTCGTTTGACACACCTATTCTTGCAAAGAAACAACAACCTGTTTCAGTCACAGTCATCTAAATCGCTAGATTTAATCCAAATTAAGCAGCATTGGACAAAATGGATTGACATGATTTGCCAAAGACAATCGCATCTCCAGACTCTGCAACAGCTGACTAAAGTTCTACAGTTGGAGTGGGAGAGTATTCCTATACAGTTTTTATTACACACATTTGCTTCCATTAGATGCCGTTTGTGGCTATCATTTGTGTCTGCGGGGGGCACACCAGATATTGATCTTTAGTGATCTTAAACTGACTATAATTTTAAAATTGTTGAGTAATTATGACATTTAGATAGTATTCCTGTTACTTACCACATTTCTGTTTTATCAATGCATCATTTACTAAATAATCTTTATGTTCAATGTGTCACTAAAATTCTACGATGTGTTCTTTTTTTGAAGAGTACATCTCATGTTTAGAGGAATAGTTGTACTGAGTATGAATAAATCACATACAATTAAAAAGAGTCCAGGCATTTAAATACTGCATGTATATTTAAAAAGTGGGCTTCATAATTTAGCGGCGGGAATGCGCGAATTTACAAATATCGCTAAGAAATCATTTATTCAGTGTAGCTCAAGTTCATGGTTACGCCAAAAACTCCATACACTGCAATTGCGCTAAATTTTGAAAACCTCAAATTCTGTACACGTTCAGTGTATTTGTCAAGAGTACACTTCTTAGTTGGGTGACCTTGACCTAATGAATACAGCTGTGGTACATAAGAGTGAATCTATCAGCGGTGTGCCAAGTTTGACCTAGCTTACCTAGTCTTCAAAATATTATTGGTTCTCTTTTAAAAGTTTATAAATATTTTTAACATACTTTCTTGTTATATGTGACCTTCTGAAAATTGTGATTACTCATAATATATACAAATTTCCCCCTGTGGCTGTGATTTTATTTCCAGAGAAAGCAAAACTGATTGTTTTGTCCATTGAATTATAGAATAGACAATTCAGAATCGCAGGAAGGTAATTCGCATGGCTTTTGCTGATTGTGTCTCGGTGGTTTATAAGCAACAGCCTATTAAATTGAAGAAAGATTTTAGAATTTTATGTTACAGAAAGAATGAATGCATATTTACGTATTTGAATCTGAATCTGTGGGTAAAATGTCTGATATCGTCCTGTATATGACAGCCACATAAGTAATTGCTGCAAGATAAATATAAAAAAAATTAGTATCGAGTTTCATAAAACCTTAAATTTATAAATGAATTTAATAAATCACGTTACATGAAATACTAAGTTTAATCCAGACAAAAGGCAGAACAACACATATTGGCTTTACTCATAGAGGGAAAAAACGAACAACAGAACATTATTGTCTTACGTTTTTTAATTTTATTTGTTTGCTTCGGCAACTCAAGAAATGTGGAATATTCTTCCGTATCTGTTGATGTATCATTTGGTGTTTTCTCTTTTTTTTCTGGGAAGACGATTCCCTTTTCATCTACTTTTGTCTTATCAACAGACACTTCTAAAAAATAAGATATTAAAATACATCATATCATGTAATCGTGTACAGATTAATATAAATACATTTTTGCAATAGAAAATAATAATACAATTGCTGTAAGATTACCAAAATTTTTCCCTTTAAATATTGATGTTGTTATATTTTCTTTCTTTAAAACAACTTCACACATTCGATCCATATTCTTTAAAAGTGAGCTTGCATCCTTTTCAGTCTGTTAGGGTTTAAAGATTAAAATGCAGTTTTAGCTAATAGATAAAATATGTAATGAAGCTTTAAACAATAATTGTTCCTACCAATTATAATGATTCCTACCCATCTGATCTTATTTTGACAGCTTTTAAAATGTGTTCTACTACTTTTATAATAAAAAAAAATATGTGAATGTGATTCAATAATTTTAAAAATAAGAAAATTTACTTCTCCTTAACTACCTTTTCGCTTACAGCAGTCCAATATTTGGTGTTGTTTGTTGACAAAACATTGTCGACAACCGCAAAGAAGGCCTGAAAAGAATAAAATAAGAATGAATTCTAAATATTTTATCAAGAACTTAGCAAAATTCTTTTTTTTTTTAAAGATACTCTTGCTTTAACACTTTTTTGAACGATAAAGATTTAATTAACACCTTACCAATTTGAACCTGAAAACTGACTAAAATTATGCATTTCAAAGTTTCAAACTGAAAAGAAGAGAGTTTGGCTTTTATAAATAATACATGTATGTGAGGCAGAGCTAAATTATACACTACAGACTGAGAAAAATCTCTAAATTAATAAAAGAGTTATTTGTAAAAGAAAAAAATACATCGCCCTAATTTCAAATCAATTGCTCTTTTTTGTTTGAAATTTAGACAAATTTTAAATGGAATTTATATATTTATTGAATATAGTTGAAGGTTCACTAAAAGGCAAGTCTTGCATATTGCTTTCTGGAAATTTTGTTTTCGAGGATTGTTTTTTCTTAATTTTATGATGCAAATATAAACATTTTTCCTGCACTGAATTAAAGTAGGCTTTCTTTAAAGCCTTTCGCCCATATTTATGCAAAGTGTAGTAACTATGTATGATTTAAATATTTGCAGTTTAAATTTCGCCCAAAGCTGAGATATAGCAACTTAATGGAGGATATTGTACAATATAACAAGAGGCCCATGGGTCTTACAGGTCACATGAGTATCATGTAACAATTTACCAACAATTGAATCTGTACCCCTGAACAAGGGGCCTTGAAATTAATCATTTTGGAAAAGGCACCTTTCATCATCATAAATATATAATCTTAGATCATTGGCATAATACCTAAGAGCAAAGGAGAAGAATTCCAAGGAATTCACGCATTTGCTCGATATAATCATTAGAGCCGCGGCCTAACACCAGAACTCCAAACCCAGGGGCCATAAAAATCAGAATTTCGGAAGAATCATTCTCGATCATATAACTATGTGCTTGGTTAGTTTGTTTAATACCCAGGAGCAGACAAGACGATTTTCAAAGAATTAATGTTTTTAACTATATAATCAATAGAGCCCGCCCTAACACCAAAAGCCCCGACCCAGGGGCCTTGACATTCACAATTCTAGAAGAGGCAGCCTTTTTCAACATAACTATGTACTTGGTTAGTTTATTTAATGCCCAGGAGCAGAGAAGAAGATTTTAAAGAATTAATGTATTTTCAATATAAAATCAAAAGAACCCTGCCTTTACACCAGAACCCCTGATCCAGGGGCCATGAATTTCACAATTTTGGTAGAGGACTCAATGCTGATTACAATCATGCGAACAGTTTTGACTGCTTGTTGTCCAGGGGTATAGAAGATTTTTAAAGATTGCACTAATTTTAGTGGTTTTGGCCCCACCCCTCAGGCCCCAGTGGGCAGGGACCATGAAATTTACTTTTGTTGTTCCCCTTGACCCTTTAAATGCTTTGTATCAAATTTGGTTAAGCGGTTGCAGAAGAGACGCTGAAAGTGTTAAAATGTTAACATACGACGAATGACGCATGAAGCACGCCGTACGACGACGGACGAAAACATATAGCAATAGGTCACCTGAATTTACTCAGGTGACCTAAAAATAAAAGGGAGAGACTATTTTTAAAACAACTAAAAAAAAAAAGGAATGAAGACAATTATAATCATAATATGCACTTCAGAAAATTGTATGATGACAGTTTTGTATGTATAAAGCTTTTCTTACCTCCTTCTCCACGTTTGCACCCGTCATATTTGTGACGTTGACAATCTTTTCTAGGATGTCAAGAGATGAGCTGATATCTCCGGCACTCAATACACTGCTCTGTGACGTCAGATTCTTCATTTTCACTAACATGTTGTTCACAGTCTCATCTACATTCTTAGTTGTGCCATCAGCAATTATACTATCCAACTGAGGATATAAAAAGTGAGATTTATACAGTTATAACATTAAAACAAAAGGGAAGCATGGCATATGACTCATTTTAACATTTAAGGTAATATTTTTCTTCATTTGAAAATTTATTCACTGCATATTTGGTCCAAATATATGAGAGAATTATGATTTGAACATAATTGAATTATGTCATAATTTTTGAATGTTTTCTTATCCTCTTTGAAAGAGAGCGTGAACATTTGATTTAACAAATTTAAATACATATTTGTATTAATATTTTTGTCTTTACCCACATTTTACATACCAAATTAGGAAAAAAAATTAAGGAATTTTTTTCCTTTATGCTACGTTCCCACTGTCGTGCGGTCAGTTACGCACGTCACGATAGATCAATCGTAGTTAATCGCAGAGTTTTTATTGAATTTTATGCCAAGATACGAAGAAATGCGTATAGGTGCGTTTTCATACGTTTCCTTACGCTTTTATGCGCTATGGCCACGGTGGATAAATTTCATGTGATGCGATCTTTGACGATCTGACTACCGTTCGGATAAGATGAATTACCTTCCAATAGGATTATCAAGATTTAGTCGAAAAAGGACCTCGATTTGTCTCGAATATCACGATCCGAGTTCTCGATTAGAAACGATCTTCTACGTTTAATACATCCTCTTGCGATATAATACGTTCATCGCGCATTCTTGCGCTAATGTGTGACAGAATAACACGTTCATGATGTCTTTCACGATCAGGATCAAGATAGAACACGCTTTGAGCTACGATTGTACCCCGACAGACATATAAAAATCTGGCTATGATGAATCCATTATATTTTATCTATTAAAAAGTAAACAAAACATAAACATACAATCAATAATAATGGCATAAGTTGAGGTTAATGACAACGTCGTGAACGTGGTGTTTGTAGAGTTACTATGTTCATATGTTATTTCTGTCAAAGTAGAGCAAAAGCAGCAGTATAACTGTTTTCTTATCTTTTTATTTTTTTTTCACCGATGTTGCCTCTGATTGAACGGGTTCAGGTTCAACAGGACGCGGAAATAGAATCGCCACTTTTTTACTTTTTCGTCCCTGTTTTCCTTGGGTGGCATCTTCAAAATATTTTGCAAAACTCGGTCATCTTGTTCCAATCGGTGAAAGAAACGCGTTCAATTTTTCCCGTCATTTTTGCAATTTGAAGTACTCGTAATATAGCGTAAGCGTCCGCAACAAAGCATTAACACTCGTATCTAATGGTGTTTACTCTCATATGTCCGTGTCAAATCGTACCTGAGCGGAAAAATACCGTGTCAGCTCGTGAGCAGTAGGACCACGCAAAGCGTCACAGATAGTGAGACATCGCAACGAATCGCAAATCAGCGAGTTGTTTGTCCTGTCCGAGATCGATCCCGATGATCACGATATGAAAGCCAGATTAGATGCGTTTACTTACGATGCAGCTGAGGTTAGTTGCGATGTAATGCGATTTGATGCGATGATAACGATTAAAATATAATCGTGTTAATCGTAGAAAAATTTTTGACAGTCAAAAAAAAATTTCACGATCAACACGATAGCCACGAGTGAACACAAGATTTATTTCGGTTTGATACGAGCACTACGATCTGTCCACGTTCGAGTCCCCGATTTCCATCGTGGCGCCAATCGTGATAGTGGGAACATTCATATAAATTTATTTCTATATCCATCAGATTCTTACATCTTCATTGGCATTTACCAAAGCGACATCAGTACAGTTAAAGAAATCGGGGAATTCCCAAACTCCTTCGAAATTACAATATCTAGTTGCAGTTCCTATGAAATAAAAAACAACAACAATAATCTCTCATTTCATTTTGAAGAAATGGTTTACAACTGGCGTACGTAGAAATATATATATAGCAGTAATAATTTATTTTCTTAACTTATTGTTTCGATCATTATGATTCCTTATGCATTGACTTGTGAATGGCAAAAGTTCATAAAAAATCAGCATTAGTTTTTTGACTTTGAATTATTTTAATTATACCTTTTTGGTATTCCGGACATGACTCCATTTTAGTTATTCCAGCAATCATGGATTTCCATTTTATATTATCAAACTCGTCGTCCGCACATCTGATTTGTTCTGTATATTTTAAAAAATCTAATTAAATTAGATCGAAGAAAATATATTTCTTTTTTCATATAAGAATCAATGGTGCCCTATAACTTGCTTTTTACATAAAATATGAATAAAATATTAATAGAAATATTTCTTTACGGATAAAAGACATATATTTAATAATCAGTTTTGTGAAACCAGACAACATGAATGACAAACCTGGTTTTGTGACAGAAATAGTTATAGAAACAGATACAGGATCTGGATAGCTAGACTGGAAACACGAAAAGCGTCCTGTGTCACCAAGATCCGCCAATTCTTTTTCCAATGTAGAAGATACGTTTGTTGTGCTTATGTTGAATCCAGAATCTAATATATATATATATATATATATATATATATATATATATATATATATATATATATATATATATATATATATATATAAAACATTTTTGAATACGTTTTCCTATTATATCACAAATAGTGTATAAACCCTGAAAAATGCCGAGTCACACCGGAAACAGTTATGTCCGGCCGGAAACAGTTATGTCAACCCTCGCCGGAAACAGTTATGTCACTATTTCGATCACGTTCGCGTGTTTTTACGTTACGCATTTTTGCTCGGGTTCGAGATGTTATGACGTCGGTTGCTAAGCAAATGTAAACAACGGAGCGTTATTCTTAACGTCAGGAAAGCATTTCTGGATTATTTGTGAAAATTTCAACGATTTTAAATGATTTAATTTTTTTTTATTTTAAAAATGTCATATAACATATACCACATGGCTTCTCGGGCGACTATACCAGAATATTTGCCCCTCGGTGACAGGAAAGCCCTGGAGTGTTATGTCACCCTCTGCCTTCGGCATCGGGTGAAATAACACTCCTGGGCTTTCCTGTCACCTCGGGGCAAATATTCTGGTATGTCACCCTCGAAGCCATGTGATATATGTATAATATATATATATATATATATATATATATATATATATATATATATATATATATATATATATATATATATATATATATATATATATATATAATAGGTTGTCACAATAATGTGATGTGAAAGGGGAAAAACAAAAACCGTTTGAGGAAATATATTTTCCATACCCAATAAAACATTAACGCCATCTTTCTTCCAGGCTAAACTTCCGTTAGATAAACCTGTTAAGGATTTAGGATTGATGGCGTCACATTGAAGATATATACTCTCTCCAGTTTTAATTGAGAAATCATATTGGGGTGCCATCTGTAGCAATAGCTTTGGAAGTACTAAAAATCGAAATAAAAATCCGTTAGAGTATGTGAAGTTTATAAAACTTTTATTGTAAGAGATTCACTTAAAGAATTTGTTTTGTAATTATTTTATTGATTTTTAATAGTAGCAATATGATTTTCTTTTAAATACAACCACTAGTCATATGCAATATAGTTGTATTTTTTTTTGGGGGGGGGGGGAAGCAGGCTTACTTGGGCTATCAGAAAAACCAAGCAAAAATACTTTCAAACCGAAGATATTTTTAACGCTAAAATAAAGCTTAAATATGTTGCTGACTCGACGTAAAACAAAATCAATTGATCAATCTTAAAATGTCTTGAAGAATCTAATTATATGTACTTCTTTTTCATTAGAAAATGAAGTCATTTACTTTCTCAAATAGTTAAAACTATAATTGATTATCATGTTTAAAATACACAGTAAATAAAGCATCAAGCGGAATCTTTGGTGTTTTTTTTCTTCAAATTGAGGCTGTTCCACATAGGGATTCTAATCCTTCATGTAAGGATCAACCCTTTTCTTTGCTGCTCTTGGGCAAACACTTAAACATTTGCCCCACTCAGGTGACTCTTTCATAAATAATAAAATCTTACGAAACAGATCTTGATTTTAAAAAGTGATACGTATTTACATGTAAGAGGGAGAAATAATTCATCTTGAATATCATGTTACCTTATGTTTTATATACATGAATACGTACCTTTTACTGTAATATTCCTCGCTTCATTGGTCAAACCTGTTAATGCTTTTACTGTCCAATATCCTATTAGTAAGAGAGAAAAGCCATTAAGCATTTTTTTTCAACAAAAAAAAAACAAACAAATCAATTGATTTTGTCATATACAGAATTCTTCTTAATTCACCTTCATCCCGTCGTAAAACATCTGTGATAGTTAGGACATGCAGCGTTGTGCCATTTTCTGTTTTAGATGACGTCATAACATATCTGGATGCTGTATTGCTTATTGAATCTCCATTTCGAGACCACTGGACAATGAAACCAACAGGACCAACGATCTCTGCTTGGAACCACACTGACTTTCCTTCGCGTATTACTGAGTTACCACTTTTATAGGATAGGATTTCTATGTGTTCTTTAAATATAGAAATATAACAATTTAAAACGATTTTTCATTCGCTATTGTTTACTACGTTGTTTTTGTTGTTGTTGTTGTAATAGATTCATTTTCAAACTCTTTAGCCTTATTTTGTAATTATTAATAAGTTCAAAAAAATTTAATAATGATTTAACATTTTCAGCTTTATTTCATTACATTTGCATAATTTTTTTAGCAGGCATATCATAAACATAACGTAATATGTTCTTAAATCGTATATATAACATACAAGTCTTAAATAATTTCCATGTCTAATTTCAAAATTATCATTGATGAAAACATATCAACTGAAAGATGAGAAAAGACATATGGTTAATTAAAAAAAATATCAACCGTCTGCACAAAATCTGCCCTGGTATCCAACTGGACAAACGCATGTAGAATTCATGCAAGTCCCTCCATGTTGGCAAGGACATGGTTTATCTTTATCTAGAATATAAGATTACAAAATATATTGATAGTTTTTTTTTCAAATCTATATTAATTAATGTTTTTAAATGCTTAAATAAAAGTGTTCCATACTTTGCAAGCCAAAAAATACAAAATACAACCAGAAGATGTGGATGTTTACATAAACTCGGGTATTTTATTTTAAAAAAATGCCAAAGAATTTTAATAACATTTGTTCTTATAGTTTTCATCATTTGTCATGCAAAGTGAAAAAAAACCCACTATATACACTTTTTGTCCAAAGAGTCAACGTCTAATCTTATACTTTTAAAATATAACCTTTTTATACCTGATTCTGTTACATTTATATACACAGAAACATCCTCAGAGTTAGAATAAAGTGAATGTGAGCAGGAATATCGTCCAGAGTCACGCAGTTCGGCTGATGACTTTAATAAAATTGAATACGCGCCTGCATCCATTTCACTGAAGCCCCGATCTACAAATAGTAAATCACTTATATGGTAATTATTACATCAAATACAAATAAGATATTTTTATATCTTGCATTAATTACAGATGGCATTAAAAATTTTGATTCATTTTTTGAAAATCATTAGAACCTGATAAAATATCTTTCCCATCTTTCTTCCAGTATAGTATTATATGAGATGGGCTAACTAGTGTATCCGTGTATAAAGCTTCACATTCAATATGGAAATCTCCTCCGGTCACGAACGATACGTCATCCTCTGGTGTCAAACGAAGCGAAATTATTGGGAGAACTATTCAGAGAATAAAATAAAATGCAATTTTAGAGTACATATGATTACATGTTAAACCTTTACTCGTAATATTTTGAGTATGTACATGTAGATTCAAAATTCAAAAATTAGGACTACTTGTTTTTAAAATTGCCTTTGATTCAAAGAGACGGGGTTTTACATAAAAAAGTAAACGATTCAAAAGTTATATATGCAATTAAAGTTAGGAAAAAAAATTCATCAGAAAAATGCATTCTTTAACCGAGTTTTGAAGCACATTATTAAAGGTTTTTTAGATAGTTTTATATTGATTGTTTTCCAAGAATCTTTTTCTGGGCATTTATACTTTTAATTAAAAAAACCAAGAATATTCCAATAAAAACACTTCCAAAAATATTTAAAATCAAAATTAAATCTTTTGATAAAAAAAAAACATCTAGCTGAAAGCTGCATTTATTTGAAAGACATAGAAATCGGGTTTGATGTATGATATGTAGACTTCAAAATTAACATCGGGTTTGGGCTTTCTTTTATGCAGATTGTGAATGTAGACAGGGAGCTATATACTTAAGGAATCACTGTAGTTAGGAGAGTATGCCAGGGCATCAACAACAGTGGAAAACATATAATTTGTATAAATTATCCAATATGGCCCACTAGTGTTGATGTTCCTGGCAAACTCTCCTAACTAGACAGTGATTCCTTACATTTCCATTTCATTGTGAAATAAAATTGTAGATTTAGACTTTCAAAATGTAGACTAATAGATTTAAATTAAACAAGGACTTCCAAATAGTCCTCGCACACTGACGTTAAACCCAAAGGCAGCCGCACTAGATTTACATGCATATTTGGCCTCCTTAGCGTCAAACACAGAGACGGATGCGCACGAGATTTGCATGCGTATTAGGCCTCCTTACCTGCTGACCTATCGACCTGCCTACTTTATATTCCGGCAGAATTATCAAGAAATAAAACTCCCCTAACTTTCAAAGAGTTATCACAGAGAAAAAAAAATTAGAAATGGAAATATTTAAGTATATAGGTCCATGATGTAGATTAGTAAAGATTAACTAAGTTATCATCCGCGGAATAGCCGGAGTGGTCAATTGTTTATATTTGCTGTATTTGATTGATGACTGATTGATTTGTTGTTGATGCTGAAGTGGGTCTGCCAATGTTGTGTTGATTTGTGCAGCGACCAACGAATAATGCCACGACAATACTCACCACATACAAATCAATAATTATTAACTTTTTGTGGTGTTGAATTCTCTCTTTATAAATAATTGATCTGAATATAATCATTGCTAAACCGCATTTTTTTTTAAATAATCTTCTAAAACGATTTGGTCCCGTGGGGATCCGGGTTAGAATAGGTCCTCAGTACCCCCTTGCTTGTCGTAAAAGGCGACTAAATGGGGCGGTACTTCGGATGAGACCGTATAAACCGAGGCCCCGTGTCACAGCAGGTGTGGCACGATAAAGATCCCTCCCTGCTCAATGGCCCTGAGTGCCGAGCATAGGCCCAAATTTGCAGCCCTTCACCGGCAATGGTGACGTCTCCATATCAGTGAAATATTCTGGAGAGGGACGTTAAACAGTATACAATCAATCAACAATCTAAAACAATTTGTCGAATTTTTTTGTTTTATTTGTCATAAAGCTTGGTTGCAAAATTACAATTATAATCCTTTTCAAGTAAAATATCTAAAAATGATACAGATGTATCAGACTCTGTAGTATCTTCTATTTCAAACTCACCGGAATATATCGTATCGACAGAAGAATGGAAATATCTATTGTTAATTGGCAATACAACGTCGATATAAGTATATCTAAATGTCGAATTGAAGGCTACAGTCATGTACAATTAGTGTTTACTTCTTTTCACGCATAAGATTTTAAACAACCTCTGCTTCAAATAATAAAAAAATAGGTTTGCTCTTAAATGAGCGCAATATGTACCCACGGGGATTCCAATAGGCTATTCGGAAACCTTTTCTCCAGAAACCTCACAGATATTGTCAATCAGAAATTGAATCAGCGTTTAAATGTCAACTTACGAATACGTATATGATAATGTATTAATAGCAACTCACCTGCGACGTAAAAAGCCAAAACAAAACCGCTTCTACTTAACCCGACGTCACTAACAAACTGCACCTTAGTTGTAGAGTTATTTAAGATCATTCTTTCGGATGTTCGTAATATATTACCTTTACTGTCTTCACAAAATTCTAAAACATACATGTATACATCTCAATAATAAGCATTTTGTATAAAATTACTATTGCAAAATATTTAATAATATCTATACCGCCTATCATGTTTCTTACTTTTTTCGTTTTGAACGAAGTTAATCTAAAGCAATCAATCTTATCTATCTAGTTTTAGGAGGGTTTTACTTAATGGGAAAAATATAGAATAAAAACTAATATCCCTTTCATCCCTATCCATTTATATGTCTGAACCCAGCACCACTCCCCGGTCATAAATATTTTTATCATACAATCGGACCACGGAAGATGAAGAGATACATGACTTGTAAACTTTGAAACAGTTTCCTGCATGTTCAAGTGCTTTAACATATCGATAATTTATATTTTCGAATATAAGACGTTACGCACGGTGTTGGTGTCACATATGGTATTTATAAATTTATCATCAAATGATATAACATTCAACATGAAAACTGAATGATACTGACCGCCTACACTATCTATCTTTACGTAATCCTTGCAGCCAACGCCAAATAATGTTGTTTTTAAATCTTGAGAGCGGAACTCAATAATTAAACGGAAGTTCTCCTTTAAGTCAGAAACCACAATCTAGGAGCACTGCACGGGACTGAAAATTAAAACACCATTTAATATCTAGATACATGTAGGAGTTTAATCGGTTTTTTTTCGTTTTTAATTTTGTTTCTAAAATACATGTACCTTGGGTATGCAGATGGGAACCCCGGAGATGTAATGAATTTCGGAGTTGACTCTGCGATTAGTTGTTCAGTTGATTTACAGGTGTCATCTGAATTGAAGCAACATAGTATTAGAGCATGGAAGGTCAGCAAAGGCAGAAATTAACTTCAATGCCGTACAGAACATTGATATGGGTCTAAAATTATGACTACTTTTAGGTTAAACATTTTCCTCTCTATGCATCTAAAACATGCAATACAATCAGGATTTGCGTTGGAAATATCGGCGATTTTAATTTTGGTAAAACATACATTCTTTATAAGAATATATGTAGATTTTTTTTCTAGTACTTTTCTGCTATTGGATAAATTTTATATGTTTATTAGCATACTTTCCCTCTTTTCAACAGACATGAAGCGAAACTGGAAGCCACCTCTTTTACAGGGCGTCAACGTTCTAAAAGTCAACAGAATTCCCGATGATCTAGTTCGTATGATTTCGCTATGTGTACAATACCCATATGCTTTAGGACATCCAACACAGCCATCTATCTTCGTTAACGTTGTTGAGCCTTAGAAAAGCAATGAAAAAATGCATAAATTTCTTTAAACTCTTATAGCTAAAGATTATTTAGTTAGAATTTAAGTAATTTAATAAACAGATAATATACATATTTGTGTTATAATATTAGACATTTTTTATACTTTACATCAGTTATATTTTGTAACTCTTTCTTAAAGCAAAAAACATGATGGCCAAGTATTGCCTTATTTACAATAGGTTTTTCTTTAGATGTGTATAAAACACTGCAAACATCAAATTTTGTCATCATTTGACAGTGAGAAAGTAGCAACTTATTCATTTTTAAAATTAGATACCGTAATGAAGACGAAAATCTGCGTCTCCTTTGCACGCCCACCTTGGATAAACCACAATATCATATCCCGTGATTGTGCTGATTTTCCAGGAGCAGTTCAAGTTACTAAAACAATATTTCTAGCATTAATTCTTATTATACAGATAAATTTAAATCAGTTATAAATTGAAAATTATTCAATTGATTTTGAGAAAGGTTCACGTTTGCCTTATTTGGCCCTGTGAATTTCTGAAAAACTGAAACTGCATAGTTTTAGTTAACAGTGCATTAAATATGTCTTAGATCTTTGGCGACTGCGTATCTATCAAAAATGACGTCATTTTCTGTCTAGGCAATGCATTATGACGTTACGAAATGCGTCAGTTTCCTCATATTCTGAAAAATGATACAAAAACGGCCAATTTTTAAAGCTATTTTTTGATATTTAATATAGAGCGCAACCTCTGATCTAAAATATGCAACTATTAAATGATAGAACTGTTTCTGAGGATTAATGGACATGTTTTATTTTTTAGATCAGAGAGTGCGCTCATACTATTTTTCTTCACTGAAAGTACTTAATTATACCTGTTTACCTAAAAATTCAAGAACATTGCAATTTCATAAAGCCATTTCTCCAAGACCTGAACTTTTAGGATAATTTTTTTTAATATGATATGAAAGCATCAAGTCTCTATTTTATTTTAATGCTTCAAATAGAAAATCAAGTGTTGATCAATTAATTGGTATATCTACAGGGCCATTTTATACATAAAGTGAACCGACTTCTTTAAAAGTATTTCTTTGCAATTATTCTTGTTTTCTTTTTACTCTCCATATCCTGTGTCTATTGGATAGTTTTCAGGATATGCAACTTTTTCTCCGATGTAAGGCTGAAGAATTATTTCTTTAACCCCTTTACAAGCATGTGCTGTTGACACTGTAAAAGATACAATAGCAATATATTTTACATTTAATTTTTTGGATGCCTTGAGCTTCTAACAAAATGTCTGAATATGTTTCATGGCTGTTTTTGAAAGCAGGAAGTAGCTATGATATGCATGTGCAAAACTTTTTTTTCAGTTTTAAGTACCTCACTAAGTAAAAAGTTAGCAAAACTAAAAAGCAAAAATATTTTCAAAAGCTTTTATACTTCACTACTAAACTTACTGTTGCCTCGCCTATCTACTTACAAGAAAGCTATCTTCAGTGTTTAGATTTCTGATTTTAAAAAAAACTTCATGTGACATTGTTAGCCTCATTCAGGTGTTTTGAAAATTGAGTAAACTTCTGCTTTTTTATATCCAATATTGCGGTAATGAATGTTAAATATTTTAAACGTACAAAGTATTAATGTTGGTTTTTTTTATGAATAAGAATGATCTAAGAAATAATTGCATCATCTTTTCGGTGTTAAGAGGTACAGAAGATTATTTCTAACACAATAGTCAATCCTTGGCTGAATCTGCGACGTTTTATACAAAATTCGGGTGTGATTGGTGGAGTAGTATACTTCAAATCGAGGCAATTTTCTGTCGGAAACTGTTTTTTAAACTCATTTTATATTTAGCCCTTCATACAATTCTTCAAAAAAAATTTTACGTGTCTCATTTCTTCTTGTTTGTTGGTTTTCATTACAAATATATAAATATTAGTCTTTGAAAGCTATAACATAGTGTTGGACGTGCCACAAAGTAACTCAGATTTCAAACATAAAATAATTGTTGGAAATTTAAACTGTTTTAGAAGAATGGTACAGACCCTTTAATCCCCGAGATTAATGTGCGACCCGCTCGAGGAGCTCGTATTATTCTGCTTCTTTACAATAGAAAATTACATTGATCGAAAACATTTTTTATAATTATTATCAAATTATTCGATAAAACCTGGTTTAGATCAGTTTACGCTTTATAATTTTAAAAAGCGTCAACTGACGCAAACTAGGTTATACTCGTATAATTTGTCCAAGAATTAGAGTCATTCCTTAAGATTTAATTTCAAAAAAAATTTTAAAACTGTGGATGTAAGATTGTGCTGCTTTTTATGAGTTCAAATTTGCTGCTCAGTAATATAACCGTAATTACGGAACTGATGGGAAACGAGAGGAGGTAATAACTGATACACAGACCTAGCTGTCATGATATGTTTGTTTACATTAAGTAAGATCGAGGTGTACTGTTTGAATTTAAATTACATTTATTAAATCTGAAATTTTTCATTTATCCTGAGGACTGGAAATGAGGGGATTGCATGGATACAGATGACTTAGCTGGTTGTCAAGGGGATGTGTCCCCATACCAAATCAGATTTTACAGAATAATTTGCTTTCTTTTTTGGAAATCAACCAATGAGAAACTAGAATACAAAATAAAACTATTTCATAAAATAGAATACTGTTTTTCTTATAAAATATTACGATAAACAATACATAAGGTTTTATCAAAAGGCAAAAATGTTCATGTCGTCAATTTGACGTTACTTTCTGCACTCATTTTCCGTTTGCTTATTTTTATAGCCATCATGTGCTTCTTTAAATATTATGATTACTGCATTTTTGTTATAAACCGTCAGTTTTGAATTGTAAAATTATTTTAATTTTTTCCAATTGTTATTACGAAATTTTTTCCTTTATGAGTATTTCTATCTTATATACATATACATGTTTCATCAGTTTCACCTCTGATAGTTTGGAGGTCCGTGTTTGCTCCGCTCCCGTTTCATTTTATTTAATGGACTTCACGCATGAATACTGTTCGTTTTCTTTCTTTATTATATCTCTGTGGTTTTGCTCTATCTTGAAATATAACGAATAAACCTGCTAATTTTTCTAAACAGCCGTATCATGGAATAGTTTTGTGTTACCTGCCCATGGTGATATCGTAATGAAACTATTCATCGGCAGTATTCCATTTCCCTCGCTTTTCATCTCGGATTTGTTTTATCCCAATATTGACGTAGCACAATTAAAGTCGAAATCGGTATTAAAACACATATTAACTGGCTATGAGAACAAAAACAAGTTTATCGCCCCCTCGACAGCAACTTTTTCCTTCAGTTGCGCCTCGAGAAATAGTTGCTGTCTCTGGGGACGTTAAATTTGTTATTGTCCTCATGGCCAGTAAATAGCTCATATATTTCATAACAAAATGAGTGTCGATGAGAAACCATACTTACGTTGGTACATTCATTCCATGCGCCGGAATATGAGAACAAGCGTTATGTTTATTTTAATGTTTAATTAAATATTGCATAAATCCCAGTGAAAGTAAGAAAGTAAAAGTAAACGACAACAGTTGAAATAGATTGCAGAATAATATCAAAGTTTGCTGAAAATTTCCCTTAATTAAAGATATTAAAAAACATTTTGTGACATTTCAATAGAAATTAAAGCCTGAGATAATGGGGTAAGCAAAACCCCAAATACATACATGAACAATCGGCGATTAACTTACCATACAGAGGAAGAAAGAGAATAGGAAGTATTTTCTCCATAGCTTAATTTTCACTAGACTAAAAAAGGAGAATTAAAACTCTTATAAGTATATAAAAAAAATTGCACTTAAAACATTCATGTAGCATAATCAAAATAAAACTCAGATTCTTGTGGGCGGAAGCTCTATGATGTGAAATAGCAATGTTTAGTGTATGGGATTTATGGGGAAATATATCTTCCTAAACATGCAAAATAAATCAATTACGTTGCAGATTAACATGCAACATAATTATGAATATATGCAAAATAATTGTTTTTACATGCTAGTTACCGACCTGTATAGCGGAACATTTTAATTATTTATAAACTTACATATACTTTATTACACCTATATATGATTTTAATGACATTTGCACCACAGGTGCACCGTGTATAGAATCTAAGAAAAATGGTTTTGAAACTTATACACACGTACATCCGGTTATCATGGAAATAGATTTATTGATTTTTGCCATATTTTGACTTTTTTAAAGAAAGGACACCATAAAAATAATATGTAAAATACTTTTTATCGTAACGTAGTTACATCAAACATAAATCGTTGTATCACCAAGAACATCAACTTTTAAGTTAACAGAAACATTACCCCTCTTAGATAAAGGTCATGCAAAACGACATGGTTTATGAAAATGGGAAAAATGGGGGCAGTTTTTAAGAAATATAAGGTATGTCAAATAGCGAAATTTGTTAAATGAAGTATTTTTTTTTCATATATATATAAGTATATTTTGCATGAGTATTATATAGTAAGAATCAAAATCGCAGAGAATATAGGGTATCAATGTGCATCTTACTTAGCTACAGTACAATTAAATTGACCTTTTTGCATTTATATTTATAGTTTTCGGTAGACCTATATTAACAAGAGTTATTTCCCGTTGGCTGCCATATTGAGGGTCAACCAGGTAATATTCCCTCTTTGTCCTACCAAATATACAAGGGTGTAGCAGAAATATTTTAGGAAAATCGTTATGGAATAAACATTATGAAATAAAGGGGCTCTAACAAATGTATATTTGTCAAAAAAAAAACAACGCTTTCCATCCCATAATAACCAGTATAAAAAGTTAAAGTTGGTTGAATTATGAATGAATATGAGCACGTTGACCTACAACATGGCGGCCGAAGGGAAATAACACTTGTAAATTTGGGTCTACTGAAAACTATCTATTGTTACTCATTTATCATTTATAACTTTACCCTTGATTCTATCAAATATAACAATGGCTATAATTATAATAATCTTATTTTACGTAAAATAGTTTGAATAATATTTATCATTGAACAAATTTGCAATTAATGTGCATTAATTATATCTGAGCTTTTTAATATCATTGACAGCTGTTTTTTTATTGTTTCAAATGCTCATTGATGTTTTTTTTTTACAAATTGTTAGTCTATTATGTATCATTCACTGAATTGACGACGGATTTTCACGTTTATTTCCGATCATGACAAGGTGCACACAGCAGATGTGACCGGTCGGCAGAGGATGCTCACTCCTCCATGGTACCTGATCTTACCTTTGGTGTTTTGGAGGTCCGTGTTTGCTCTGCTCCTATTTTGTATTGTTTAAGGGACTTTAATATTGATTACTGTTCGTTATCTCCATATGTTTCAATTTAAAAAAATGGAACTCGTAAATTTACTTACATATACCTTGTCATTGGTCATTTGCAATATTATTTTGTTAAAAATACATTCTGATGTACACATAAATACTTTGAAGTTGATATTTGAAAGATACCTGTTTCTGAATGACAATATTAACATGTATGTGGTTTTGGGAGACCAGATCTCATTTAAAGGCATCATTTCATAAGTTCTATGATTGATACAGTGACCTAATCAGTAAATACAATGTTTAATTTAGTCAAATGCTGACTGATTTTCTTCATTTTAATTGTAAGTCCATTATTTACACACTGAATTGACAACGGATTTTTCCGTAATAGTTTGATCATTACAAAGAGCACACGGCTACCGTGACCAGTGGGCAAAGAATGCTCACTCCTCCTTGGAACCTGCTCCCACCTCTGATTTTGGATATTTTCTATGGTCCAATTTTGTATTATTTGATGGACTTTTGAATTTAGATAATGTTCGTTATTTCCATAAATTTCATTTAAGAAATTTAAAAATAGCTAGTTCAATGCAATAAATTACATGTAACGAAAAACATACTTTTATAGATGACCTGATATCATTTTCAAAAAGCATAAATAGATTATCACAATTTTATATACCCAAGGATTTATATATTAAATAAAGTGGAAGATATATAAAATAACATTGTGTTCTACAACAATTTTGTTTCATTGGAAGCCTCTAATTATTAAGACAAGGAAGATCATATGCAATCATTCTTATTACCACTTATACTGCCTGTGATGTGACTCAGTGTGCTTATATTAAATAGGAATCGCTATGAGTAGTAGAAAAAATGAAGAACATTCATTTCATATAAGTGATTGTTTGACAAGTGCTTGTTTATTTCATTTGCAAATTGTTTTAGCAGTATAAGCCTGTAATTCTATAAATAAATGAAGTAAAGTTAAAATCCATTACCAAATAGATACATTTTCCTTCGTTTTAAATAGAGGTTTTGAGAAATGCCATAAAAATATTGTTTAAAAATTAATGACTTGGTAAAATCACCTATAAATTCAATTTTAGGTAATTGGCAAATTGTGAAATACAAAGCAGTATCCAAGAAGACAAAAGTGTATGACGAGGAAATTTTGCATCGCTGTTTATGGTCGATAGCTTATGCTAGGTGATAGTGTTTTTTTTTCAAATTTAATACATTTATTCTTTATCTTATATAGAAAAATGCAAAACTAACGAGTACATGAAGCGGTTTTTATTTCTAAGACCAACCTCGAAACTCCTGGTTCTCTACTGCGAAGACTTCACATAAAGTCTTTTTTTTTTCCTTTCAGTGTATATATTTTCAGATGAAGTAAAAGTTGTTAAATCGTAAATTGTATTTCACATGAGTCACAGACAGGAAAAATTTTAATGTTCTCCAATATTTTATACTAGGTTATACTTTGTATCTACTTATCTACTTCTACTACTTCTCCGATCAGGAGAGAGAGACTTTTTTGTCACATGCGATATGAATGAAATGAAACATATGTAGATAACGAATGGTATTCAAGATCAAAGTCCATAATACAATACAAAATATGAACTGAGCAAACACGGCACTCCAAAACATCAGAGGTGGAATCAGGTACCACGGAGGAGTGAAAATCCCCTGTCGATCGGTCACACCCACCGTGTGCTCCTTGTCATGATTGGATAATTAAATCGATCGTGAATTCAGTGTGTAAATAATGCATTAAAAATAAGTATGAAGTAAAGACAGAACTGACAAAGACATTTGGAGGTGAGAGCACAGGGAACAAAAAAAAAAGAAATATAGAAAGACCCACTTGGTTAAAAAAAAAATTGGATTTTTTATATGTAAGATTATGTAACAAAATATTACCTCTTTTTATGTTCGAAATGCTAGCAACCATCACTTCTTTAAACGGATACTTGTACTTGGTTTGTCGAAAACAATAAAAATATCTGGCGGCCTCCAGATAAGTTTCTGACGACTGCCAAATATTATGCACGTGAATCAAATACTCAATTCATAATTCTAATAATGAATAAACCCACGGGAATTCTGAAAATTTTTTAGAACATTTTATCTCTAAACATGCCTAGATATTGTCAATCAGAAATCCTAACATTCTTTTTAACATCAAAGTCGCAGTACTTGCATTTCAATTAGAATGGTTTTTGTCATGTATCAGTAATCCGGAATTATACAATGTATCATTTTTGGGTTCTATGTTTTACATTATTTAATTGAATACAAACTCCATACAGTGTCGATTTCCGGGACTACTTTCGTGCCCTACGAATAACGCCACTGCCACAGGCTTTCCAAACTTTTTCTAAAATTTGGAAAATTGGATTGCGCGAGTAATTCGGTTTTCAAAAAATTCAAACTGAATGCTGTGTATAAGTTTAATGATTAAAATAAAAGAAAATAACAATTGTTCTATTTAATTTTGAGAACAGCAAGTAACGATTTAATTTTTTCAATCCGATTAAATCCGGATTATTTTTTCATGTGTTAGTTTACACCAAGTTGCAATGGCGGCGTCCATGCGTCATTGGAAACGAGGAGAAGTTTTGTGTCTCATGGCTGTAATACAACAAATTCTCAATGAATTTGAAAGAACTTCGAGAGTGTGGATGCAAGCGACATGGTCGATTTCATGGTTGTGCGAATGGCATCAATGATAATGAGAATATTCGAGAAAACAAAGAGCTTTGTAATTCGAGACTGAGCTCAATGAAAGCTGGAATTTCTGTGATGGCAGGGCTGAGGAAACATTGATGGGATACTTGGTAAAGTTTTAATTCTGAATAAAATGAGACAAGTTTTGTAAATTAGTAAAAACATGTCCATTGTTATGAGTTCTCCAATTTAGCATAGGCCAGAAGAGATAGGAAAAAATCATAATAATCAGAGTTCTGCAAAAGTTAAAGATCTCATTCTAGCATATAAAGTCTTAAAATTATAGAAAACCATTGTTATTATTCAACTAGGTCATACAAGTAGACCATATGTTACATGTATAACATTGTGTACATCCAGTTCCCATGTACATGTATCTACAAGCTAAAAATTTTGAAAATCCAAATAATTCCTACTGAGTGCATGAAAATGAATAAAACTATTATAATAGATAAGTAAATAAGAGTTTGATTTTAACAGGAAAGGGAGAAAACAATAAGGACAACACCAGGATATGACTAGTCAGTACAATGTCACCCAAGGCTTAATTCCAGAAATATAGGACTGGTACTTCATACTGACCACAATGACAGATTGGATCCTGCCCGATTATCACAAGGAAGAAAATTCAAATATCATAATCTTCTTCAACACACAAAACAGTATTAAATCTAGGACAGAGGAAGTGATATTTATAAACAGTGTTCTTCTGTT